CTTAATCACACAGAGGCAGTATCTCTGTATCAGTATCAGTTTCTTGTCATTAAGCTAATGTTTTCTGTCAACCCCACAGTTCAGGGTGTCACAGACCTGATACGTCTGCCCATTGAGCAGTACCAGAAAGACAGGAGGATCATCCGCGGTCTACAACGTGGAGCCAACTCTTTCACTCTCAACACTGTCATGGCAATACTGGAGCTCACTAACAAAGTTGTCGGCTCTATACAGGTAAATGGGGCTTTATTCATGTCTATATTCACCTGTAAAGTTATTCTGACTCTATACAATACCGGTACACGTAAATATGTAAACTTGTATGTCACATTTTATGGAATCCATATAAAATAAAAGGAGACTGTAATGTTAAATCCTTGAAACTTTAAAATGAACTATTTTGTCCCAGTATGTTGTGCATTAGTTTTGTTGGTCTTTATATGCCAATAACTTTCGATTAAGCCCAAAAATGTATGAAGCACAACATAAGTTATGCATCTGGTCAGTTTCAGATGCCTGTTAGAAGTAGTAGAGATGGAAACAGAAGCCTGTTAGAAGTAGTAGAGATGGAAACAGAAGCCTGTTAGAAGTAGTAGAGATGGGAACAGAAGCCTGTTAGAAGTAGTAGAGATGGGTACAGAAGCATGTTGGAAGTAGTAGAGATGGTACTCCCGTGTTCATTGTTGTGCATTCTATTGATCATGTTTCTATCTCAGTACTGTGCCGAACTGGGCTATGACATGATGTCACCAGGACCCAGTGTTAGAAGACGTAAACAGCTACGACAAAACAGCAGACAGCCTAGAACGACAGCAGAGGGGGCTAAAGCGGCACTGGCTTTAGTAACTGAGGTACCGGGTTACCATCTTACTAAATATTATTTTATTTTTAAACATGTGTTGTCATTTGGTGACCTTGCTTTTTAATTTCCTGAATCAGTTTTATGAATAGATGAACCAGTGTTGTCAATGGATGAACCAGCTTTATGAATGGATGAACCAGATTTATGAATGGATGAATCAGTTTTATGAATGGATGAATCTGCTTTATGAATGGATGAATCAGGTGAACCAGCTTTGTCCATGGTTAACTCCTTTCTTCCTCAACTGTCAAATGCTATTTCTAAAACCGGCTATATTTGATGAAACCTGCTAGATTTTTACTTATAAAATTTTATATTTAATGTTTTTCAACTTGCCTCCCCCACCCTACCCCCCTTACAGGGTGTGAAAGAATCTGCCTCCAACCTGTCAGCCATAGTCAGTGAAGAAAGTGCCCATAAAGGCTATGTGGGAGTTGTAGGGGGAGCACTACGCAATGCTGCCCCAGAATGTCTATTCAAACCCCTGGCGCTGCTTGCAGAAGCTGGAAACAGCATTGTCCAGGGGGTCAGGAATGAGGTTGACCCTAGTAAAATGAAAGAAGATGCTGACCGTTGGAAGTGAAGCCAAACAGGTGGTTGTCAGCGAGACAAAGGCTAGTGATAAATACAATGAGTTGAAGTTGTGAAACTCCTAAGTCAAGGGTTTGGAAATGTTATGTATGTCTGACCTTAAAATAAATAACAAATAAACATACCATTTTTTACAATTATAACTGATAGTCAGTGTTTTCATAAATAGTAAAGAAATATAAAAGATTCTTTTTTTTTAATGGATACAAATTTGTAAAGATTACAGATAGAATAAGGTATTCAGTGAAATCATCTTTTGTGCAACTATGAAAATTTTAATAGCTTCAATGATTATCTTCTTTAAATCATTTATATTGCTTGAAATTTGATTGACTATCTCTCCAAAGTTTCAAGAAACCAGAACAGAGTTTCTGCTGTATAATAATATGGAGTGATTTCCAACATTAGAGAATATTCAATGTCTCCTTGTCATTTTTAGAATTGTGAAAGTTTTTGTATTTTTTCAAAGGCGAGGTCAGATAGTTGTGCAGCACATTAAACAAAATAGTAATAACTACCATGAATACACAAATTTTGAGAAGCACTGATCTAGGCTTTTTGTTTTAATTTAAGTTTTTTCCAATATTCAGATATAAACTAAAAGGCTAAATTTAATCCATTCATAAATTGAACAGTTTGTGATAAGCTGTGACTGAACCCACCCACTTATTCACACATTTCATCAAGTCATGAGATATTGCCTCCACTATAACCATTTTATAATTCATGGCATGGGACAAGTCTAACCTCAGAAGATTTCAACAATTTAATTTTCATAACAGTAACAGTTCCAAGTAAATTGAATTATTGAAAAAGAGCTGTTGTTTTTTTCTATTGCTCAACTCTGTTATATGGGTAAGTTAGTTGAGTAATTAAGTATGGTTTAAAGAAAAAGCCACTAGGACCTGGTTACTTGAGTAATAAACTATCGTTTAAAGTAAAAAGAAGCCATTATGACCTTGTTTCTAATGCCGTACATCTTAAATATTATGCCAATGCCACATTTCTCAATATCAAAATTGAGTCTGCACTGTCACTTGACCTTTGCACTGTGTACCAATTATTTTATATTACCTAGGAGCTAAATATAGTTAATTTTTATTTTTGATAGTGTCACCAGATGTTTTAATTAGTTGGTTCTATAATTGTATAGTTACATGTTGAGAAAAACATAGTGAGGACATAATATAATACTAATCTTGAAAAAAAGTACAAATATATAAAGTTACATATGTTTGGATAGAATTGTAATTATTTAAATTTATTTTTCTCATTTATGATTCGGCAAATGTTTTTAATAACTTTCATTACAATGATTATATTAAGCCTTCATTTTCTCACCAAAAAAAGTTATCTTAAATAACAAGTGACACCTCAACATTGACTGAGTTTTATCATCAAACTCATCATGCACCACATCTGGACAATACCATAATAAACCTGAGAAATTCAATGATATGAATAACATGACTGGACCACCATTAGGTCCAGTGACTGGACCACCATTAGGTCCTATGTGGCTCATGTCTTGTTATTGTCACTTTGATCACCTACTATATGTCAAAGATGTCTTGTCAGTACCTTGTACTTGTAGAGTGTCAGTACCGAGTGATAGTTGAAACAGTTTAGAAAACATGACATAAATAAAAAGCAATCTATACCAATTGTGAAAAAGATGTGTGATAGCCTATAACCTGTACCATCAAGCAATTCATTGATAAACCAAGTGTACTAGGAAAATATTTTTGAAACTTGTTTTTTTCTTATAATTATTTTAATAGAATTTTCAAGATATTTTTTAACCATTCTAACTTGGTGTTGTATGGTGCAACTTGTATTTTGTAGGATGTGACATACTTGGTGTTGAGTTTTGCTGCATTTACATATATGTATATATACAAAATTGCTTTATTGTACATAGCCCAGTGATTTAGTGACATTTCATGGCTGTGTTGTACATTGAGATGCCATTTTGTGGATGTGTTGTACATAGAAATGTCATTTCAGTTGTCTTGTTGACCTTATCTTGTTTATTTGTTATCGATAAACATGTCACTATGACCTGTTATCTGAATGACCAAATAAAACAGTCCTCACATTAACAAAAGTTCACTTATAGGTTGTTTACAGGGGTGAAAGGTTGTCTTTAAAACAAGAAAACTAAAATATGCGTGTTTAGTTTATAATTCTACATATTTGCCAGGATAATAAACACAACTTTTTAATAGTCTAACATTATAAGGATTTCTATTTTCTACTTTTTGCTGGTTTAAACAAATTAATGAATAAATAAATGATATAAAAGCAAATCAACTGCTCATATGGTTTCATTAAATTACAATTTAATGGCTCAACAGTTACAAGCTATTCAGGACTGGGTAACTTAAAACAATTGTTCCCTTCAGTTTTAGTGTTGCTCAATTGATGGCACCAATTTTCCTACTGGATCTGTCACAGATTAATTTATGGCAACTGCATTTCTAGATAACTTTGTTTGCTAATAGAAAGATAATCTATATCTGTTATATTGTAAAACACACACAAATTGATCATGACAGGACAATGCAATGAGAAGAATTAAATCTATATACATGGATATGGGGCCCGTCACCGCCTTCAGCCTGTGGCACAACTCTCAAGTTTAACCAAACTTTCTGTCCATTTTCAAAAACAGTTATCCTGTTTAGTTTGTTCAGCCAGCGCCAAAAAAAAAACATCAAGTTCAAGTGATAAAATTTTAGTTTTTATTATTATTTCACAAATTGATTTTTTCTTAACAAACTGCTTTAAAGTTTGACATTGATAGATAGTGTAGGACCAAATACAGTAATATCCAAACATGTGTGTGTCATTGTGTCAAACATTGAATTAACCTTTACTTTATTTTTGGGTGTGGTGTAGTTATATCATGTACCAGTTTTACTCAATCATTTTGTTATGTCATAGATTTTGTGAGAAGTCAAACTTTTGTTTGAACATTTGTCTTGACAAGCTAGATAACCCTGTGATGAAGGTCTGTGAGACGTACAAATGTCTTGACAAGTCAAGTTTGATAACAGTGTGAGGAAGGTCTGTGAAATGTACAAATGCTTTCATTGAAGAGTTCAACACAATTGACTACATTATAAATGTTCATGAAATTTTTGGTCATATTTTAATGTAAATTAATTCAATAAATCAAGAACCATAACCCTCTCTTGTTTCTGTTTTTATTTGTTTATGATTTTTAATTTATTACATTTTTATAGGTAGGAAAAACAGCGGGATATAATTTCTGACGATAGTTCTTCATATGACACATTAGTATTGACACATATTTCTTCACATGACACATTAGTATTGACACATATTTCTTCACATGACACATTAGTATTGACACATATTTCTTCACATGACACATTAGTATTGACACATATTTCTTCATATGACACATTAGTATTGACACATATTTCTTCATATGACATATTAGTATTGACACATATTTCTTCATATGACACATTAGTATTGACACATATTTCTTCATATGACACATTAGTATTGACACATATTTCTTCATATGACACATTAGTATTGACACATATTTCTTCATATGACACATTAGTATTGACACATATTTCTTCATATGACACATTAGTATTGACATGTTCTTAGAAATAAATTTTGATAAATGTTCTATATCATGTTCTGAGAAATAAGAATTAGTTTTCATGGATAAAACTTGATCAGGAAACAGTTCTTTGAATGTGATTGACACTTTAGTAACTAATATAGGCCTGTGTGTTCTGATTTAGCGAGTAAGTGACATAGGCCTGTGTGTTCTGATTTAGCTAGTAAGTGACATAGGCCTGTGTTCTGATTTAGCTAGAAAGTGACATAGGCCTGTGTGTTCTGATTTAGCTAGTAGTGATATAGGTCTGTGTGTTCTGATTTAGCTAGTAAGTGATATAGGCCTGTGTGTTCTGATTTAACAAGTAAGTGACATAGGCCTGATTTAACGTTACACATATTTTCTTCCTTCTTATGAATGAGTTGTGTTAGACTGTCGATAACAAAAGACATTAATTCCTCAAGCTAACTGCTAAGAACATAAAACAGACCAGCTTGAGCTTAGTTGACTCATGATTTATTGTTTTTATTAAATTACGGCTAAAGATCACATACCATTGTATTTTGTGATTTCTGTTGTAATTTTATCTGAATCAGTCCAATAATGTCCCAACTTCCAGGTTGTGTTATGTTATATCATTAATTCCTTTCTCATCAAACATTACCACAAAGAGTCATCCCCCCAGCCGAGATCCTTGTACATGTTGTAACGACTTCGAGGCTTGACCCATTTGTCTGTAGGCTCCACAATGCCTTTACCAACCTTCCAGCCATACATTTTGTTATTAGAAGACGGTGGTATTGAATCACTGGGTTTGAAGCTGCAGAAATCGTATTTGATATCATAATTATTATTTATTCATATTATCTAAATTTAATCTATAGCCGGCCCAAATCTGAATTATACATAGACATAGAAAAATAAAATTATTAATAGGCCTACCTATGCCTGTCTGTATAGTTGTAGAAATAACACTGTTAGTAAGTGTATAAGGTTTGCCTCAAATTAAAAACATTTAATATTGATCAATGTGTATTTGCTGTACAAAGTCCAACACAGCCTTTCTAAACTATTTATATTAGTGGCCTACTTTAAACATTGTATCTACCTCTGTGCCCCCCACCCACTTCCACTTTGTGAACTATTAACATAAAAAAAAAAAAAAAACTTTTTTTATAGAGATATAATTAGCCCCCAACAAATATGCTTTGGGCCCATGGGAGCCATATGCCTCACTTTGAGAAACGCTGACTTAGCAAGTAGCCCATATGCTGGTCGCCGTTATTATTTTAATTATTTTAATGGCTCACTTTTTTGTCATCCTAGATTCTGGATCAGGCCACATGTGAGCAAACTCTTCTGGGTCTACTCTTTTCACCTTGGAAGGCATCGGTCTTCTCTCCCCTTGATCTAAATTTGTATTTAGCTAAAAATTTAGAAATCAATCTTAGTAAACAAAATTGTAAATAATTTAAACAAATGTTTTGTGTCTCCGCTTTGCTTCATTACCTCAGACATCCACTCCAGAAACAGAGAAGCGTAACTAAATGCCGCCCGGGGCAAACTCCCAAAATCCGGACCCCCCTTCCCCCGCGGGGCTCATATATAATTAGTAGATTCAGTATGATAAATACTGTCAATAAGAACAATTATTTTAAAATATTACATAAAACTTCATTCCTTTTCATGTATGAACAAACGTCTTCGCTTCAATTCACTCACTAACAGTCACTTAAAAGATTTCCAACCAATCGTAAGTTTACGGATAATAATAGTTTGTAAAATTTGGACCGTAACTTCCATTGAACAACTTTGGAATCTTCGTCAAAATTAAGAATTTCTTAAAACTTTAAAAAACAAAACCTTGAATTTTGAGCATTTATTATTGCTTTGCTTAATGCTAGCCTTCAATTTCAACTTTTATGACGCAGTAGAAATGAAAGATACCTGAGTGGAAATGAAACACTGATTCGAGCGCCACCCCATGCAATAAACTATAGGCATTGTGTCACATGGCATAGATGTAGGCCTATGTGCCTATTTAGGCCTATTTGAAAGGGATGTTCTTATGCCACTAATATCTTCATTGTTTTCAGCCCCAAATTTATTACAAATTTAGTTTTACACACGTTTACATAAAAGATTTGTTTGCCCGTAAAACTTTTAAATATTTAAAACATTTATCCATAAATATTATTGTGTTGAATAATTAAGTCGGCAAAACTAGTGCAGTCTACTAAAACTTGCGAATGAGCAAATACGACATTTGGGTAAAAGTCGATGACTTAAGACTTTAGACATTGAACAAAAAATAATTGCATAGACAGTATGTTGGGGCAAAGTAACTTGGGAACTGGGCCGTTTCTATGAGTTCAACCCTGTTTTTCAAACCAAGGTGAGAATTGAAAAATGTCCCCCCTTTTCCCTTTAACTACCATCACTCACTCTCTCTCTCTCTCTCTTTCCCTTTAACTACCATCACTCTCTCGCTCGCTCGCTCGCTCGCTCTCTGTCTGTCTGTCTGTCTGTCTGTCGGTCGGTCGGTCGTGTCTAGTCTAGTCTAGTCTAGTCTAGTCTAGTCTAGACAAGTCCAGTCTAATCTATCCATCCATCCATCCATCCATCCATCCATCCATCCATCCATCCATCCATCCATCCATCCATCCATCCATCCATCCATCCATCCATCCACCCACCCACCCACCCACCCATCCATCCATCCATCCATCCATCCATCCATCCATCCATTTCTGTCATCCAGGCTAAAAATGCCTTAAATATAAATTGTAAAAGAACTTTGTATTCAATACTATCAGTGGCGTAGCTAGGGTTGGTGTCACCCGGTGCGGTAAACTCACGGTGTCACCCCCCCCCCCCCAAAAAAAAAAAAAAAAAAAAAACAAAAAAAAACTTCTATGATCGATTTTTTACTTGTTAAAATAAGTCCACAGTATAGCATCAACCTTGAACTTTTAATAAAGCACGCATTTAGATTGGTTAAATTTGTGAAAAATATATGTGTGATCGGTTATTCTTTTATGAATCTCGATTTTTGCGAGCAATGTGTGCCCTGTAAATATGCAATTTTTCAATCGGGTGTCACTCCTAAAATAGTGTAACCCGGTGCGGTCCGCACCCCCCGCACCTGCCTCGCTACGCCACTGTTCAATACGTAACAAAAATGTTAATGTTTAAATTGTTCCTCTAGATCAGAGGTCGGAAACCTTTTTGCCTGAGAGAGCCATGGACACCACATATTTTGAAAAGTAATTCTGTGAGAGCCATACATTATGTTTAGAACTAAAAATTCAAGTAAATGTGTGCATTTTGTGTAATTTCAACACTAAAAATGCAATAATTATGTATGAATTCTTTTTAATAACATTTGTTATGCTATTGCCAATCAATCATGAGTATACTTCTTACCATTAATGAATTAATGCGACTTTTTTTTTTTTTTTACAATTTTTACATTTTTATTGGCGATATGCACCGAACTATTGGGGAATACATTTTCATTTAAATCTGAGGTTTAGGCAATGCTGATCCTAACGTGATGCATTAAGTATAATGTATATATGATAATATTTGAATCAAAAACCACCAATTTCCCGAAATATAAAAGCAAAATTCAATGGAATTTTCTTCCCCTCCAAAGTAATATCATCACAGTTGAGAAAATGTCACTGTTAATAAATCGGTCCCAAAGTTTTGGGACAGTTATGTCTATCGCCCCCCACCCCCCATATTGGAAGCCAGCCCACACCTGCATAATTAGCACAATGAGTATTATAAACACACATATTATTAGAACTTTGCTGAGAATTCAAATTAACAACAGACGATTAAAATTTCACTAACATCTCAATGATTCTTCACATTTTTCAGCAAATCAAATTGTCAAATCAAATGAATTTCAAAAATGATTTTCCTTTTTATTTTTTTAATTTTTTTTTTTTTTTTTTGGTTACTATTTGTTTAAAAAATCACCATTGCGCCTGTCGCTCGGTGGCTATGCGGTCAAAATGTGTCTCTGTTATACATTATTATAGTGGACAAAGAGTTGAACAAGGGGCACGTAACTCTGCAAGGAAATGACACTAGCAGAGAACTGATTTACCCAAGTACCTACATTATGCACAAGGCTTTGTGGTTGAATTAACTGACTTTACTTCATTGTTTAGACTTTTAGAACAATATCAGAATAAAATATATAAATAAATAAATATATATTGCAATTTAATAAAAATGCACGCTTAACATTATTGGAAATATCTCATTTTCACTTCACTTTCTCGAAAATGATCGCGCCATAACCTATAAACCTAAAATCGTATCTCCTCTCACTCGAAAGTTTTCATCTGGAATCCTTTTTCAAAGTCAAGGCCAATCTACAATTATTATTTTTTCGACGCACACAAAAAAAGTTAATTTTTTGTAACTTTTATAGAACTTATGATCATCAAAATATTTAAAAGACATGTCTATTTGTAGCATGCCCGGTGTATCGAATAAATCTAAGATATTTTCCCGTAATTTGTAATATGTGCTACTCTTTCATTGTGAGCGTTTTTCTTTTCTTTAACAAAATTGTTCTAATACCGTGAGACGATGTTTTTAACTTAAACCACAAAATAGCTAAAGGGTTTTTGTTCGACGTGAACGAGTTGCCCCCCTTGAATTATCAAAGCTTGATAGAAATGAGATTTGGCATGGTAGCTGATGGTCGATTTGTTGAAATTATGTTGCTCTTAAAATTAAGCTGAAACCAGCAACTGACTTAGGAAAACTGCCAATCTTAAATAATATATCCCCTACCACCTCGCCAAAACCAAAAAGTTCCAGCATCCGAGGCCAAACCTAATATCTTACTTTATTGTAAATGATAAAGATTGTCTCCTCCCCCCACCAAAAAACAAAAAACAAACAAAAAAAAAACAAGATAAAACTCCATGTCTCACCTCATTGTAAATAGGCAAGATGTACCCCCACATACAAGGCCAAGTTCTGCGATGTATCATATTCTCTTTGTTGATCATTTCTTTCCTGAGGGCAAAGTAATAAATAGCAGGACAAATGGCAGGACAATTAGCAGGGCAAATAGCAGGGCAAATAGCAGGACAATTAGCAGGACAAATAGCTGGACAAATAGCAGGACAAATAGCAGGACAAATAGCAGGACAAATAGCAGGGCAAATAGCAGGACAAATGGCAGGACAAATAGCAGGACAAATGGCAGGACAAATGGCCGGACAAATAGCAGGACAAATGGCAGGACAAATAGCTGGACAAATAGCAGGACAAATAGCAGGACAAATAGCATGACAAATAGCAGGGCAAATAGCAGGACAAATAGCAGGACAAATAGCAGGGCAAATAGCAGGACAAATAGCAGGACAAATAGCAGGGCAAATATCAGGACAAATAGCAGGACAAAGAGCAGGGCAAATAGCAGGAAAAATAGCAGGACAAATAGCAGGACAAATAGCAGGACGAACGGCAGCACAAATGGCAGCACAAGTGACAGTACAAATGGCAGGAGAGATAACAGCACAAATGGCAGCAAAAATGGCAGCACAAGTGCCAGTACAAATGGCAGGACAAATAACAGGACACATGGCAGGACAAATAGCAGGACAAATAGCAGGACAAATAGCAGGACAAATAGCAGGACAAATAGCAGGAAAAATAGCAGGACAAAGAGCAGGACAAAGAGCAGGACAAAGAGCAGGACAAAGAGCAGGACGAACGGCAGCACAAGTGACAGTACAAATAGCAGGACAAATAACAGCACAAATGGCAGCAAAAATGGCAGCACAAGTGCCAGTACAAATGGCAGGACAAATAACAGGACACATGGCAGGACAAATAGCAGGACAAATAGCGGGACAAATAGCAGGACAAATAGCAGGACAAATAGCAGGACAAATAGCAGGACAAATAGCAGGACAAATGGCAGGACAAATAGCAGGACAAATGGCAGGACAAATGGCAGGACAAATAGCAGGACAAATGGCAGGACAAATAGCAGGACAAATAGCAGGACAAATAGCAGGACAAATAGCAGGACAAATAGCAGGACAAATAGCAGGACAAATAGCAGGACAAATAGCAGGACAAATAGCAGGACAAATAGCAGGACAAATAGCAGGACAAATAGCAGGACAAAGAGCAGGACGAACGGCAGGAAAATAGCAGGACAAATAGCAGGACAAATAGCAGGACAAATAACAGCACAAATGGCAGCACAAATGGCAGCACAAATGGCAGCAAAAATGGCAGCACAAGTGCCAGTACAAATGGCAGGACAAATAACAGGACACATGGCAGGACAAATAGCAGGACAAATAGCAGGACAAATAGCAGGACAAATAGCAGGACAAATAGCAGGACAAATAGCAGGACAAAGAGCAGGACAAAGAGCAGGACAAAGAGCAGGACAATGAGCAGGACGAACGGCAGCACAAATGGCAGCACAAGTGACAGTACAAATGGCAGGACAGATAACAGCACAAATGGCAGCAAAAATGGCAGCACAAGTGCCAGTACAAATGGCAGGACAAATAACAGGGCACATGGCAGGACAAATAGCAGGACAAGTGGCAGGACAAATAGCAGGACAAATAGCAGGACAAATAGCAGGACAAATAGCAGGACAAATAACAGCACAAATGGCAGCAAAAATGGCAGCACAAGTGCCAGTACAAATGGCAGGACAAATAACAGGACACATGGCAGGACAAATAGCAGGACAAATAGCAGGACAAATAGCAGGACAAATAGCAGGACAAATAGCAGGACAAATAGCAGGACAAAGAGCAGGACAAAGAGCAGGACAAAGAGCAGGACAATGAGCAGGACGAACGGCAGCACAAATGGCAGCACAAGTGACAGTACAAATGGCAGGACAAATAACAGGACGCTCACATGGCAGGACAAATAGCAGGACAAATAGCAGTATTACATCAAAAACCCATCAAAGACGCACTCTTCAAATAATCAGACAACTTCACACTTACAAGTTTCTTCTCATAAAAGGTTGGCTACGGTTAATGAAAGAATCAAATAATACAAATTCCTAGATAAGTATAAGTACTAGAGAGGTGCGCAGACAAATACGCAAGTGAAACATTGCAAACTCATTGTATTGAATGCAAATCTAATTATACTTTGAGCCAAAACGTCTTTAGGAATTAAATAATACAAAACTTACGAAAATCTCATTTTTGCCACATAGTTGACGAAAGGGTCGTCGTCATCCTTGGGCTTCGCCATTTTTGTTGGTGATTATTACGACACACAAAATGGGGCTGGTTCTTTTTTGGTGCGGAAATGTTCCAAGAATATTTATCAAGTATCCGGTACCAAAATTTGCAAATATTCAAGTGGAAAATAAAATTTAAGCATTAATTCAAAATGTCCCAAATGCCTTTCCATTCTTCTTTACTTTTGTTCTGTCTAGTTTTTTGCACCACTCCTATTTTTTTCCCCTTTTTTAGGTAGGTGTAGAATATATGCATATATATACTATGCAAAATTAATTTAGACTTATTTCAATGTTTTGTTGTTATCCTGATGAAGGAATTGTGCCGAAACGTCTAATTGTGTATTATGTCAAATTATTATTAAAGCTTAACATATAGTGTTTTATTGACACAAATTGTTCGTGTCTTAATATTCTATTTTAAAGCTTTATCGGAGTCCAACACTTTTTCAATGGACCCGGACACGCATTGCCGCTATTCGGACCCGGGTCCCATTAGACTAAATGCTATTCGTATGTCATTTGTGGTAGTTTATTTTAGTAAAACGGAATAGTTAGATTATAGTCTATTCAATTACCTTTCATTCGATGCCAAATTTTATCTTAAAAACTTAACAATAATATTTTAAATATTTTTTTAATAAACCCAACCTCTCACTTCTGATACCAGGTCCGAATAGCCGCAGCCTTTTTAAAATGTCCAAAACCTCACCCCCCCCCCACCCTCACAGAGGTGTAGCAAAAAAAGGGGGGTTCGGGGGGTATATTAGAGTTGGAGCTTAATTTTGCATTGTATATGAGAGACTGCGTTCAGGTGTAAAGGGAATAGTGGAACAAGATGTGAATAGCCCAGAATTGAAAAGACAGGACAGTTAAAATAACGTTTTGGCTGTATGCCTTCTCCAGCAGACACGACAAAACAAGAAACAGCAGTTAATTAGCAACTAGAAAAATCAAAACATATGTGCTAGAAAATCTCAGTGTAGCTCAATGTAGCTCAATGTAGTCACTGTAGTCAATGTAGCTCAATGTGGTCACTGCAGTCAATTGAGCTCAATGTAGCTCAATGTAGCTCAATGTAGCACAATTTCGTCACTGCAGTCAATGTAGCTCAATGTAGCTCACTGCAGTCAATGTAGCTCAATGTAGCTCAATGTAGCACAATGTCGTCACTGCCATTCACTGCAGTCAATGTAGCTCAATGTAGCTCAATGTAGCACAATGTCGTCACTGCCATTCACTGCAGTCAATGTAGCTCAATGTAGCTCAATGTCGTCACTGCCATTCACTGCAGTCAATGTAGCTCAATGTAGCACAATGTCGTCACTGCCATTCACTGCAGTCAATGTAGCTCAATGTAGCACAATGTCGTCACTGCCATTCACTGCAGTCAATGTAGCTCAATGTAGCACAATGTCGTCACTGCCATTCACTGCAGTCAATGTAGCTCAATGTAGCACAATGTCGTCACTGCCATTCACTGCAGTCAATGTAGCTCAATGTAGCACAATGTCGTCACTGCCATTCACTGCAGTCAATGTAGCTCAATGTAGCTCAATGTCGTCACTGCCATTCACTGCAGTCCTATGTTTAGAACCGGAAACGCCCTATGAATTCTGCATCAGCCTAGTGCGGAAACCTTGATAAAATGTTGACTCTTGACCGTTAGACCAAACTTAGACCTCTGGTTCCCAACTCATGGGTCGCGACTCTGAATTGAGTTTCGGAAACTTTTCTGTATGTTCACCGCCCTTTACGGTCAATTTTTAAAAAAAAATGTTTTAAAAAAAAAATTATAAGACATTTTCATTTTAAAATGGTTCATTAATAAAGTTAAATAAATTTTATAATTCTGCCACATAGATAATAAATTAAATAATAGAAAACTAACTAGCGATTAGTGCGAAACTAAATGTAAGAGCTGAAAGGATTTTGAAATAATAATGAACTTTAAAAGATAGTATGTGATTTTTGTTATCTTATCAAGATTCATTTCTTTAGTCAGTGGCGTCACTAGGTGGGTGCAAGGGTTAGTGTGGACCGCACCGGGTGAGATCCTCACAAGGGGGGAGGGGGGGTGACACCTGTTACATCAGGTGTCTCAAATCGCGGCCTGCGGGCCATGTGCTGCCCGCAAGACGATATTTTGCAGCCAACTACATGACAGAAAAGTTTAGTGTTAATGCGACTCAAAAAAGGTTGGGAACTTTTTCCTTTGACTAACATTACACCTACGACTATCATTGATACTACATGACCCGTATCCATCGCCATCGTATCCAACGTTTCGTTTCAAATTATCTTCTCTTCACTCCCAAGATACCCTATAACCTTCTATTCACTCCAACCATACCCTATAACCTTATATTCACTCCCACCATACCCTACAACTTTCTATTGACTCCCAACATACCATATAATCTTCTATTCACTCCCACCATACTCTACCTTCTCCTCACTCCCACCATACTCTACTTTCTCATCACTCCCACCATACTCTACCTTCTCCTCACTCCCACCATACTCTACCTTCTCCTCACTCCCACGATACTCTACTTTCTCATCACTCCCACCATACTCTACCTTCTCCTCACTCCCACCATACTTTACCTTCTCCTCACTCCCACCATATTCACCCAACTCCACTCACACTCTGTCCCCCACGCTTCAAAACACCAGTAATGTTTATAGTAAATTAGCTAGGGTTAAGATGACTGTCCTGGTTCGGACAAAACAGAAGAAGAAACTGACGGCCCAAAAGGCTATGAACTGAACTAACTCAAATGTCAAACAGTTCAATCGGTTCATTCATGTGAACACAATGAAAACAGAAGAAGAAACTAAGGGCCCAAAAGGCTATGAACTGAACTAACTCAAATGTCAAACAGTTCAATCGGTTCATTCATGTGAACACAATGAAAACAGAAGAAGAAACTGACGGCCCAAAAGGCTATGAACTGAACTAACTCAAATGTCAAACAGTTCAATCGGTTCATTCATGTGAACACAATGAAAACAGAAGAAGAAACTAAGGGCCCAAAAGGCTATGAACTGAACTAACTCAAATGTCAAACAGTTCAATCGGTTCATTCATGTGAACACAATGAAAACAGAAGAAGAAACTAAGGGCCCAAAAGGCTATGAACTGAACTAACTCAAATGTCAAACAGTTCAATCGGTTCATTCATGTGAACACAATGAAAACAGAAGAAGAAACTAAGGGCCCAAAAGGCTATGAACTGAACTAACTCAAATGTCAAACAGTTCAATCGGTTCATTCATGTGAACACAATGAAAACAAAAGCGCACACTATTTTTATATTTTTTTTTTAAACAATTAATGTAACAGAATATAATTATTGTCTCTCACAATGCAAAAATAATCATTAAGTACATTTCTATGTATACGCCAAACCATCATCGATTTAACAGTGTCAAATCATCGGGCAGACGTCTAACAGTAAACACTTCTCATGACAGACACGTCGGTGTGGATTCACCACGACACCATTTGAGTCAGCTGTGACATGAGTCACTTGATGGCGTCATAAAAACTCATTGATTGCATGTCTGGTTTTTATGTGTCATGAAATTATGTAAAAATATTTCTACTTGACATTCACATACATAGACATAATGGCACTAATAATGCAGACATAATGGCACTAATAATACAGACACAATAGCACTAAAAAATTCAAATACAATGGCACCGAAAAATCGGACACAATGGCACTAAAAATGCAGACGCACTACATAAGGCAGACACAATTGCACTAAAATTTAGACACAGACGAAATGAAAAATTCAGAGACGGTGGCACAGAAAAATTCAGACACAATGGACATACTACGGGAATAATATGGCATTGTCAAATAATAGATCAGTGACATTGCCAAAAGCTATACCACAAAATATATGGGACATAATTGCACTATGAAATGACAGACACAATAGCCCTATGAAATGGCAGACAATAGGACTATAAAATGACAGACACAATAGCACAATGAAATGACAGACACAATGATACTTCCGTATTATATTTTGGACGTATGTTATACTAGACGCTAATTGTATTTACGAACCACCACCACTTTGTCACAATTTAATATAAATGGAATTAAATGCACTCGCAAGACATTGTTTACTATTCGCAGTACCAGAGCATGTCCATAAGAAATATCTGTCCATAAACACATTGTAAAAATAATATTGTGAGTATTATATTAATACACATCAAAGACGCACTCTTTAAATAATTAGATCACTTTACACTTACAAGTTTCTTCTCATAAAAAGATTGGCTACGTCAATGAAAGAATCAAATAATAACTATTCCAAAGAACATACAAATTATGCATTATTATAAAATAAAACAATCAACATGTTTAAAATCAACTTTTCTGGTAGCATAAATCAACACAGAGTCTAATCTGGAGCATCTATCAACACAGAATCGTGCCTGGAGCATCTATCAACACAAATGAAGCAGGTCTGTGGGCATATGCCAATAGCCCATCAAGACTGAGACTTGGGCTACTTGTATGTAGCATAAATCAAAATATAGAATTGTATTGGGATGTAGCAAGTATCAATATATAATTTCATTACTTTCTATGTGTAAAAAGCCTATAGGCTAATTGATTATCCATAAGCGTACAGTGTTTCTTTGTTTAATCCCTTCGTGGATGTATTGTCCGTCTGTATAGCCTCGCCCATATCTCTCTAACTATTCTACCAAAATCAGCCAATAGTTGTCTTTGTAACCTACTTGACTCCACCCATATTTGTCTGGCTCCTCTACATAACTCCGCCCATATCAGTCTTGTCACCCTATAAAACTCCACCCACATAAGTCTTGACACCCTATAAAACTCCACCCACATAAGTCTTGACACTCTATAAAACTCCGCCCATACATGACTAGTTACTCTATAGAACTCCCCCCATATTTTCTCACCCACTCTGTATAGCACCAGCCATATTTTTCTTGTCACTCTATAAATCTCCGCCCATATTAGTCTCGC